GCTGTTGATCGAATTTCTGATTTGCCTGATCACATTGTCCATCATATTTTTGCGCTACTACATTGTCCAAAAGATGTGGCACGGACTAGTATTTTGTCAAAGAGGTGGAAGAGCATCTTTGATTCCTATCTAACGTTTGATTTTGATGAGAGGTACTTTCGAGTACACCGGGGACGAGGGAAGCATAATCGCATTAAAGCACGGGAAATGCAGAAGAAGAATTTCAAGAATTGCATTGAGAAGTCACTGGCTGCACGACTTGAGCCCAAGTCTTGTATACACAAGTTCAGGTTGTATGTGAATAATCTCAATGATAAGTTAGCCTACTGTATGGATCGATGGTTAAGTGCTGCTGTGGACAAAAATGTCAAGGAGCTTGAAGTTCATGTGAATGTAAAGAGAAATCAATATCTTTTGCCAGATGTCATTCTTATGTCTGAGGCAATTACTTCATTGAAGTTATCTGGGTGTGTATCATTGTTTTGTTTCACCGCTGTGAAGCTCTGTAATCTGAGAGAGCTGTCCATGAAAAAAAGTCTCGTAACCGAAGCTATGATCCAGAAAGTTGAACATGGCTGCCCCTTGATTGAGGATTTGAGGCTGGTACACTGCCGGGGACCTGTATGCTTGCGTATTTCGGAACTTGTTAAACTCAGAAGGGTGGAGTTACATGAGTGTGATACGCTCAGTTCTGTTGAAATTGAGGCATCAAACCTTGAAACCTTCTGGTATCATGGACAGAATAATCAGCCATGCAAATTCAACATGACAGGTTGTCAAAATCTGAAGCAGTTGACTTTGAATGCTGGTGAAATGACTGACGAGATGTTTCAGAATTGTATTTCCAAGTTTCCATTGCTTGAAAAACTGTTCCTTAAAGAATGTAATAGCTTGGACAAAATCACAATTATAAGTGGAAAACTAAAAAGTCTTGCCTTAAATCAATGCATGATGTTACAGGAAGCGAACATTAACACCCCAAGTTTATTTTCGTTGGAGTACAGTGGCCATAAAATGTCTTTCCCTTCCATGAATATTTCAGGGCTGCGTGAAGCAAAGTTTCACTTTAATCCCTCAAGCAAAGATTCTTATATTTCTGAGTTGCAAAAATTTTTTGGGAACTTTGATCAGTTTAAGGATTTCAAACTGATCATGCACTCTAAGCAGGTATGGAATTTACCGTCTTATATACAGCAGCTAAAATTCTTTACCACTATATAACTTTCTTATGATTTTTTTTTTTTTTTTTTTTTTTTTTTTTTTTTTTTTTTTTTT